TTGGGGGTCGAACAACCCTTTCACAGGGGTCACCCGATTCATAACATTAACAAAATTACAGTTATGAAGTAGCAATGAAAATAATTTTATGGTTGGGGGGTCACCACAACATGAGGAACTGTATTAAAGGGTCATGGCATGAGAACCATTGTTTTAAATGATTGAAAATCCACCAATTCTTTGTCAGAAACTGTATTCTCCCTATTTTTTTATGGTTTCTGGTTTAGTATTTTGCCCTTAGAATCTTTCAGTATTGCAATATTAGACTTGAATATTTTCTTCAGTTCTTTCCTGGTGTGTTAGTCTGGGTTGACTAGAGAAACAAATTCGTAGACACTGTGTATAAGAAAGAGGTATTGAAGCAACATTCCAGCCCAGTTCAAACCCTTAAGTCCGATATTAGCCCATAAATCCAGTACAAGTCTTCAGACTCACACAACACCATGCAATGACACCGAATGCAGGAAGATCACAGGCCATTGAGTGGAAAGTCTTGTGGATCCAGTGGTAGTAGAGGCATCTCAGTGCTGGCAGGGGTCTCCACGTGATTCCTTCAGCTCTGAGGCTGACTGCCATCAGCCTGTCTTCATGTGGCTTGTCAACAAGAATGTCTCTCTGTTAATGAGCCAAGAGAGAGTGTCTCCTGCCTCCAAGGATGAATACAAGAGTTCCTAGAACCCTTGGGAGAAGGCCATGCCCACACAGAGGCTATGACCTTGATTGACAAGTTAAGACTCCACCCCTTCACTCTTAATACTCTCAAATTGACAAACGATTATATAACTCATGTCTTTCCCTTTAGGTTTTCTAACGCCAGGTCTTTGCATGTTATAATACTTTGCCATTTCTAGCCATCCTCTCATATTCTGTTCATCTATTTTAATCATTTTCTTTCACTTTAGCGGTTCTATGTTTGAGAGCAAATTTGAGCCCTTGTTGGCATCCATTTTGATCATTCTTCCCTTTCGTGGCCTTTGTCACTAATAGGTTAATTTCCATATGCCAAAGAAAACTATTATTATTATTATTCAAACTTATGCACCAACCACTAATACAAAAGATGAAGAAATTCAATATTTTTACCTTCCTTTGCTATCTAATTGAGCAAACATACAATCAAGTGCATTGTTAATAGTTGGAAATGAAGAATTGTTAGACAGAAACTGTGGTCTCAGTAATAGAAGTTAGGCAGGAGATTGCCTGAGAGAACTTTGCAAGGCCAATGACTTAAGTCACTGTGAGCAGCGTTTTCAATAACATTAACAACATTATGTATGGCCCTCACAGCATTGAAATATATTACTTATTTGGAAACAGGCATTGAAGAAAACTATTCGTTATTACAAGACCAAGGGTCAGTTGTAATATGACCATCAATTACTCATATGCAAGGTGAAGCTGAAGAAAATTAAGTATATGAGAGCCAAAGGGCCATGAATGTAGAGAGTAAGCCTTGAATTTAAAGACTTTTGAAGAATAGATTTGATGCATTGGACACTAGTATCCAAAGACTGAATGAGTTGGCAATGATATCAAGGAAATTATATGTGAAGAAAGCAAAAAGTCATTAAAAAGCCACGAAAGAGAAAAACACCACAAAGAGAAAAACCACAGTAGCTGTCCAGAGAGATGCATTGAATAGTAGTTGTCAAGTAATAAGATTCTGGTGATGCAAGCAGTTAATATCCTTAGCAATTAGAGAAAAGTTGGTGTTATTAGTCTACATAGTATTGCTTGGTAATCTACTTCCCCTCAAATCAGCCATTTAAAACCCTTGGAGAGAATGTATAGTCTCATGCAAATGGATCTCCATGACTCAGATACTCAATTCCAATTGGTTTTAATTATATATATTACAATCAATGGAGACCCTTTTTTTTTTTTTTGAACAGTCATCTTTAAAAGTAAGTTTTGCAATAATTTTTGATATTTTACAGGAATTTTTTTGCTGTGTTAAATCTTTTAAGATTTGAAAAATCCATGCAGCTTCCTAGCCCGCTGTAAAATCTGTTTGCCAAAAAATTTGAAAAATGGTAGTTATTAGTCCTGCTTGTAGTATATGATCATTACAATAGAGTTCATATTTATTTACTAAAGTACCATTTTTGAGACTGATCCCAACCACTGCCTAAATCTTCGTTGTTCACTTTAATTTTTATAGCTACAGTGTGCATGTCTTATACAGTCACTATCAGAATCTATAGAGGAAACATCCAGGAAACTCCCAAGTAAACCCCCCAACACCCCCCCCCAATATTAGGCTCCAAGCTCATTATACAGGTCAAGTATTGCTACCGCTGCTCCAATTCATACATGCACGGGTCTCTGTCTAATAAACTTTAAAACCAGGTCTTTGCGGCCAGTGAATGACTGCAGGGCAGCTCACTTGAAACTGCGCTTGTGTTAGTCTCATCGGGTACCTTCTAAAAACAATTTTTGTACCATAGGACAAAGGTGATTTTGAGATCAAGGGTAATACATTTTTAACAAAACAAGTACTGTATATACTCAAGTATAAGCCGACCCAAATATCAGCTGAGGCACCTAATTTTACCACAAAAAATGCACTAAAAATGTGCTGGAAAACTCGGCTTATACACAAGTATATACGGTCGACATCGTCCCATAACATTTCAACAAGTAGGGCAAGGGATGCTGTCCCCCATAAAACAATAGGTTTTTTTCGATGGATCGGTATCGTAAGAATGACTTTCCCCCTTAATGTCTCTCAAAAAGGCACAGAGAGGAAGGATAGTCAGCCTCAGTGAATGGAGGAACTCAAGTCTGTAAAACTAGTTCAGGAAGACCATAGACTTACCATAGACTCAAGTTGAGAGCTCCCATGGCTCAGTGTTTTCGATTTTAAGGGCTTAGCAAGCTTTCAGCTCACTGGCTACCAGAAGCACTGCATTAATTTTTCCATCAGTCTTTGTTTTACTCAAAATTGAAGCTAATGAACACAATTTCATGAAATAAATTATAACCAGGGCCAGGTCTTGGAGTTGCCAGTACACTTCAGAGGGCAAAGTCCATTCCAAAGAGTGGCTTCCAGGGTAACCTGCTGGGCTAGTTCAAGTCAAGGCAGAGAGATTAGCTCAGAAAGTTATGGTGACTTTGGAATTTGAAAGGAGTAATCTTGATAGATTTTCTCCAAGAACACAGGATGATCATCACTAGGACCTGTTATGCAGACATTTTAAGAAAATGGAACATTAATTGTGGAGGAAAGGCTACATAAGTTGCCCGGAGGAATTTCTATCCATAAGCACAATGCATCTGCTCATTATTGAAAGTACTGAGGACTATTCTTCAATTTTGCTGGGAAACCTTTCTCATCATCTACTCTTCAGTCCTAGTTTTGACCCTTATGATTGCTTTTAAAACTTCAAGAGAACACAATTTGCATCCTTCGAGGGTGCCAGAATTGATGATTAGATAGGGTGTAGATTTCTTTGGGAAATAAATAAGAGAAACACAGCCTTCAGATGTATAAACCTAGGTGGAAAATGTGTCAAGAAATAATAACTTCACATTTTGATATTTTGTTTAATAAAGGTTTTTACTGTTGTATAGGAGCACTTTTTTTGCTTTCATATAAAATGGCTTAATGTTTGCATGTACCGTAATCTACCCACATCCTCTCAAATACTGCATATCACCTCTAGGTTGTTTTAATGCCTAATACAAATGAATGCTCATTAAATAGTACTTTATGCTCTCTCAGTCTTTCAGGATTCCTTTGACCAATTTGTTACACCTTCCACTCCCATCTGCAGATATGGATATTAGGGCCTATTATCCTTCCTATCTTCTGTAAGTCAACTTAGAAATGAAAAACTTCAGTTTTTAGTGCAGTATGGGAGTGTGGATGGCCTTTGTGTGTTCCAGCAAGTTGTTTTCTGTATGTTTAAAATGTTACTGTCTCTAGTTTTTTATATACAAATTATTCTGGTACTTTATAGACATAGTTCTCCAAAGGGGTCACCACTCACTGTTACCAAGTTGATTCCAACTCTTAATGATCCTATAGGACAGTGTAGAACTGCCCCTGTAGGTTACTGAGACTAACTTTTTGTGTAAATATTTATGGGAGCAGAAACCCTCCTCTATCTCCCTGGAGACTAACTTTTTATGGGAGTAAAAAGCCTTGTCTTTCACCCTTGGAGGGGCTGGTGTTTTGAACTGCTGACCTGGTGGTTTGCAGCCTAACTTGTAACACCACATCACCAGGGCTCTGCTTTTCAAAGCTAAGAAGTATACACATGGTTTTCTGTGGCTCTTGAAGCAGAAGAATGATGTCTGAGAATTTAGAGCCGGTGTCAGTCATATCGCTCGGTGTAACCTCAGCTTATCCATTGCTCCCCCTACTCTCTGTCTACTAACAGGAAGTCACCTACAATAAACAACTCCATAGTTGCCATCCCCTCGGTTGAAATCATATGGCACTGATCTTCAATGTGACAGGATCACATTGAAGACATGAATAGCTTATGTGGAGAAAAAACTACATTTGTGTGTTTGGTGGCTCTTAGTGCTATCTAATAGTCCCTGTATTTCTTTTTAATGAAATACAAATTATTTGAATCAAGAACCACATCTTATTTTCTTTTTATTATTCTACAGAGCTTTATACCATTAATAAGTATTCAGCAAATATTTTATTAGGGTTGGGGGTAGATTAGTACAGTTATTTGTGGCAGTTTCAGATCTTTGAAATAGAGAATGTATTTAATGCACATTTATTTCATTGTATATATATTTAAAATACAATATAAGTACTATATATATCTATATGGCATTTGTGTTTGGGGCATTGTTTGCTTTTTATGAAAAGAGCTAAGCTACACGTAGAATTCCGTGAAGCTTTTTGTAAACAAATGTCTGTTTTCCCTCTCTGTGTAATGTATGAACTTTCCAGTTCGTGGTCATGAATACATACATTTTCATGCTGTTTGTGACCTAACCATATGAGAGATAATTTTTTTTGCTTCATATTTCAGAGCAGCTTACCCGAACCATCAAGGACAGATGGGAATATGGTTCATCATTCCTCATATGTAGTCTATCCACCCGATAAGCCTTTCCTTAATAGTGATATGCGACGCTCCCCAAATAAACCTACATTTGCCTATCCAGAAAGCAATAGCAGAGGTAATGGCAGTTAACAAAATAGATGCTACTTTGTTTAGTCACTGTGTAAAATTTTAAAATTGTACCTTCCTTTTGTTTTTAAGTTAAATGAGGAAACCCTATTTCCGCCTTTACTTGTGCCCTATTCAGATACAGTGCGTTCCCTGTGTTGCTCGTCTTGGTTGTTAGCATCAGCACCCACCACATCACCAAACCTCTGAGTCGTCTGTGGCTGCTGGCATCTTAGCTATCATCTCTGAGATGATTCTGTTGGTTCGCTCTTGTCATTCACGTTGTTAGGGCTCAGGCTCTCATTATCTTTTTGCATAGATGATTTTATTACATAGATAGGTGTGTATAACTGAAATTGTGTTCAGTTCTATGTGTTATCCCTTTATTAGGCCAGAAGAAGATGTAAGACAGCTAATGTACTTTGAATAGCTCAGAACTTTGTGTGATTAGCTAAATTTTTGCCATTTTATAAAATCTTTGAAATGTTTTTTATCATGATTGTTTGTGATTTTTACTTGATTGCCTAGCCTTACCAGGGTCAAAAATACTTTTTAAAGGGATTTCTTAAAATGTGCTCTGAGATAATGAACATTTTGTTCCTCAAAGTGATCCTTTATTGAACTCACAAATTTAAAAAATTTAAATGTGT